TCTGTTTCTCAGAGCATCAAAAGTTCTCTGACACTGACACTGATACCTAGACCTATAAGATGACTAATGGTTACTGTCCACGCTCCATTTCTCTCTCTACTCCTTTCTTCCCCTAATTTAGTTCTGTTCTACCCAATAACGACTGCACTGTCCTGGTTACATGTGCCTGGTAAGCACTTTTTTTTCTCCCTGGACATGTCATTTGTCTGATGCCAGCTCTTCTGTGAAATTGTACTTGTCACATGCAGGCGTGGACTTAAAGGAAATATGATCGCACAAATACAAACGCAGCACAACAGCAAAGAGATTCCTTAAATTCCATTTCTTAATCCCTCACTTCTCAGTCTCCTGAAAAAAGAAACTATCCGTCCTCAGACCCTGGAAAGTCTTTTTACTTTTTAATCACACTTCTTCCCAGGACTTTAATCATAGTTCGCCTGCAGTAGCAGACAGAAGTGTGACAGTGATGTGGTTAGTGAGTGAAGGGCGAGGGAATAAAGAGAAAGCCCATCATTAGACGCATCCATCCTGTCATTCCATTAGAAAGAACAAAATGACCCTTATCCCCCCTGTCCACCCCACGGAGACATAATTGGGTTTTCAGGGGAAAAAATTCTTTGGACCTAAATTGCATCTGCTCCGTCTCCTCTCAGCGCTGCCCGGCTCAGCCCGACCCTGCAGCAGATAGTCGGCCCGCGCTCCACGGGAAATAATAATTCCAGTTGTCACACACTAATGGTCATTGCAGCATAACCACATCGCCCCGCGGAGAATAATAACATTAATTCAGTGGTGATGGGTGCAGTCAACTTTTATATGAGGCCAATTGCTCTGGATGTGAGTGGGATGAGGTTCTGAAATGATTAACAGAGGTATCGGTGGAGCACACCACTCAGTTTAATTGTCTGATTTCTTCTTATCCTTTACCGCAACAATGACACGAAAGTGTGGTTAAACACTTTCGGAGTTAGAGACGCATAATAAGGGGGGACGATAGGGAGCATGGCGGCGTCGAACCTGCCCTGAGGAGAGAATGAATGTCTGAGCTACTGAATAATGATGATGTGTAAGGTGGAGACTTAAACATCCAGCTTTACCATCAACTGGTCAGATACAGTCATGATCCTCAAGGAAGGAGCTCTCAGAACACACATCACATTCCGAGGTAAAATGTTTGTAATGCACTGAGGTGGAATTGATTTAAAACCAGCCCTAGTGGTTAAAGAAGTGTTACGCAAGCACCAAACGCTCCCGTGGCTCCTCAGCTGCAGTAAAGTCCAGCCCACGGTTATGTCCTATGAGACTTTTCAATGCGTTTGTATGTTCAATCACAAATATTCTTCTACAACGTCTGAGCCCAGGAAAAAGTAGAAGGTAGAGGCAATTGCAGTTGACCCTGAAATTTCACTTAATTAACCCCATCCGGCGCCCCTGCTGGCTGACTTTGGACGTACTTGTTGTGCAAAAGCACGCTGCACTAATAACAAAGAAGCTCACATCGTCCTGATCCATCAAATCCGCCTCACACGGAACATCTTTCATTTCACTCCCGACGCCACGGCTCAGTAGGTGAAGTCAGGACCAGCGCGGCTTTGATATGTTAAGAAGTGTCTCTCTGCCCGACTGACCCTTCACCACTGGCTGCACAGATCGGCTCTGCTTCTGATTTGCATCACACAGGGTGTGTAGCAGCGGCAGCTGACACCAGGCCAGCTGTTCAGAGTGTGTGGCTCGTTGTATTGTGAGGAGAGGAACAGTTGTGTTTGGCTCACTGACATAGAAGGAGCCCTAGAAATCTACACAAATATCCTGCCAGCAGATTAATTAAAAAATACACTGTTAGCGTGGGACCACAAGGTTTATGGTTGATGTTTGAATTTACAGAACTGACCTGCAGGGATAGAGATTATTCCTCTGTGAACAAAGCTGAAGGAGTTGGGTTTTTAAAGAAGGGGTAAAGAAAAAATATGGCAAGAAATGGTCTATGATGTCGATATGTGTCTCTGTTTGATTCAAAAGTCATGCAATTTAAATGGGGTCACCTGAAATGTCCAGTGATTGATTTAAAACAAAAAAAAAAGTATATAAAAGCACATCTAACTGGCTACTGTGTATTTGCAACACAATATAACAAACATGTTAAAAAAAGAATTCCAGAAAGATAAAAAATATTTTTGTGGTTACCAGAAATTGCTAATGCCCAAATGGGGACAAAGGCCAAAAAAAGACCAGGAACCACTGGTTTAGAAACTCGCTAAACTTGTTAAGCCCAAAAATACACACCAGCACTTCTGTAACTGACGCACATCACATGATTCACAATCCACTCCAACCACAGCCAATAAGGAAACCTGCCTAAACTGTGAGCCAACATAGAGGGCGCTGATTCGCTGCTTTTCACCACCCTCTGACATGGTTTCAGAAAACATGTAAACTTTCATTTCAGTGACATGACAGCGTGACACCACTGACTAATTACAGCACATCAGATAAACAAAGTGACACAGTCTGATGACAGGCGGTCTAATTACCTTCATCTCACACACAGCCGCACCCTCTGACTTCAACATCAGTGTGTACTGTCAGGCGGCGGAGAGAGACGGCCTGAACATGAGACGTACATTAGTATTCTGCTCCCCTCGTGTGCTGCCTTTTTTTTCTTATTATTTTCCTCCTAATTCCCATTCCATCTCAGCGACGTGTACTACACTGGTGGGAGTTGCATCACAGCGCAGCAGATCCCTGGAGGCAGAATTTACCCTCTTGTTTCCCCTATTGCTGTATATATGTGTGAGATGTCTTTATATGAAAGGCAACAGTGCAGAGTGGAGTCGGATGATGACAACAGGCTTTTTTTTTCAGTGATGACAAACGGACTAAATCTGGATGTTTTTGAGATGTTTTTCACCCAAAAATGAAAAGTCGGGGAGGAAGCATGTTTCAAGCACTTTAAACAAATTTTAAAAAATACGATTTTTTTTTAGTATACATAAAATAAGGCCATCAGAATAAACACATTCACGGTGACAAATGTGTGATTGAAAATTTTTACTATTCTAAAAAAAATGAGATTCTTTTGTATATAACACCGTCAAAAAGTCCAGGACCCCCACTGACAATGACATCAGTGGGCTGACGTTTAAGACTGAAGCTGTTTTTCAGTGACAGGTTGCAAAATAGGACTCTTAAAAAAAAACTGGGAGAGATTTTTAAGGAATGCCTCATGCATTTTATGCAAGTTTAGGATTCTTGAAGGATAAAAAAAAAACAAAAAAACAAGCGTGTCATGTTTGATGTTGTCTTTGTTGTGCCCTGGCTGGACGTGAATGCCGCTGCCTTTTTTCATTTGCATCTCCATTTCAGTGACACAGCTCCACAGCTTGTGTTTATTCATGGCTGCAGACATCAAACATGTCTGTTGTCTGTTTGACTTACAATGGGCTTCTGGACAAATGGGAGATAAAGATAAAGGTGCCAACATTTGCCTTGACTTCCACGGTTTGTTTTTTCTAACTTAAATTAAAAAAGAGAGAGAGAGAGAGAGAAACAACGTGGACACAAACAAACATTCCCTGATTATTCCTCCTCAGGCTGGCCAAAGCGACGCAGGCCAACAAAGTAAATTCCCAGTGACTTCAATCTTTCCAAAGCCCCCTCTCCCTCCCCCCCTGTTTGTTTCACTTACCATTATTACCTGTTATAATTAAATAAATAAACTAATAACACCCACAGGGCTGAAACAGTGGGTTATTTCCTTTACTCACTGCCATTGAAAGGAAAAAAAATCTTTGGCCTGACAGACGGACAGATGGCTCGCCAGGTGATTTCTCTCTCGTCAGCCAGGCTTGGCCCGTGTGTGCCAGCAGGGAGACAGACAAATGTTTACGCAAACACAAGCTCACACAGACGAACAAGTTCCTATGGACAAACCGCTGAACCACTGTGTTCTTCTGAAGAAATATTTGGAATACATTTGTGGTCAGAGGGTGGTCTGAGCCACTGTGCTGTAGGTGTCAGAGATGATTCTCTGTCTTTCAACTAAACTCAGTGTTCTTGTCAAAGCAATGGGAGCCACACAGAGAGTGACATGACAGAGAAAGTGGTGAGAGTGGAAGTGCGACTGTGGAGGCTCCGCGATGGTCTGACTGAGGACTGAAAGTTAACCCGATCCCTGAATCGTTTTAATCCTGCTGTTGAAGCGAGCGTTCCTAAGGCCGTTCATTAAAATGTTGAAACTTCTGTATGATTTTACTGGATTTTTATGTTTGATGCAAAAGTGTTTACCACTTAAAATGAATTAAAATGATGATGTTTTTTCTCAATGATGTGAAGACAAATGTATTTGAGGGAAAAAGTGACAACTGTTACAGTGTAAATATAAATATATAAACAGTTCTATATGCCCTAAAGCAGTGGTTCTCAAACTGTGGTATGCGTACCACCGGTGGTACGCGAGCGCTGCGTAGTGGGGAAAATTTTCACATTTTCACATTTACATTTTCAACTGAATAAATCTGAAACATGTTATGCACAATTAATACAACATTTAAAAAAACATTTTTCTAAACATTTCTAACCATCTCTCCTGTGGTGGAAGCTAACAGTGAAGGCCTGTGCTGCTGTATTCTAATGTTGGTCATCGTGGTGGTACTCAGAGAGATCAGTGTTTTCTCAGGTGGTACAGAGTAGAAAAGGTTTGAGAACCACTGCCCTAAAGGGACTCTCAAAAATCAATCTTTGGCCAGCAGGGCTGAAAATTAGGGTTTTTGAAATGTATGTGTGTGTAAGTTTCTCTTAAAACTCACAAGAAGTGGAGATTACACAGGGCTTGTCAGCAGATCAGTGGGAGGGCAGAGTACAGACTGTGAACGTCTATCCATGGAAGCCATTTCCTGTATGATCCCCGTCAGGAGACTGGCTTTAGACTCTCGAAAACCTTCAACAAATACAAGTACAACAGTCAGTCGGAGGAAAGACAACAGAAAAACAGCAGGACAGTGGATCAATCTCCTCCAATCAGCAGCACTTAAGGAGCAGGGGGAGCAGGAGTAGCAGGGCGAGGAGTCTCTGACAGGACTGTGACTGTGACTGTGCTACAAAGGATGTTTTTACCACCCAACGTTCAATACACGAAGAAGTGGAAGTCAATCAGGTGTTAGGAGATCAAAGGAGGTGACCTTTAGGTCTATTTTTTGGGGGGGGTAAAGTACTTCTCCACAAACTTTGAAGATGAGGGCAACTTTTTTGTTTTTCTGTTTCAAAAGAAAGACGAAACGGTTACATTTGTTCAGTTTTAGGCGTTATCGTGCATCTAGCAGCTGTGACATTACAGCGACTGCAGGACCAGATAAAGAATTTATTTTTTCATATTTTATCACTTAGTTTTTACTCATTCTGATCAGAAAACCAGTAATCATATTGTTTTCCCTCTGGTATTAAACAGACAAAGACGCCACCATGTGCAGGGAAATTTATGTCCTTTGTTGTTTGACACTTGGACCAGTAGTGTTTGTTTTGGTCCTAGGTCAACACATATTATCCCAGGATAAGAACTGGAAAAGAAACACCAGAACGTCATGAGGTAATGAGCGTACATTATCGTCTGTTAGCAGCTGGTTGCATAAGCTTATAAGATTGTTTATTTGACATTCATGCAAATACTTCTTTTTTTTTTTGTCAAAATAATTAAAAATGGCATTGAAAAATGAACTCTGTGTTTATTGTTATAGAAATGTTTTTGGTTTAGTTTTTTTAATTAGCATGTCATTACTAAAAAAATCCATCACAGAAGTAATTATACAAAGAAAATCTTAGGAAGTTTAGACATGAGGCCAAACTTTTAATACACCATTAATCCACGCAGGCTGGAAAATGGGTCATTTATTCAAATATAAACCAGAGCAGGATTATCTAGAACTATAAAGTCACAACTGCAGCACTGAACAAATTATATAACTGACCATAACAAAAAGACTATTATACCACTATCCTCGGTATATTCACGGTAAAGACATATTTGGTGTCACCTCTTTCAGAAATAATCATCATGGCTGCTGTGGTCGTCAATTTAATTTCCAGCACTACAGCACGAGAGTGTGAGTGAGAGAAAGGCGGAGATGAAGAGCGCCTCGGGCAGAAGTGAAACAGCAGTGATTGAATAACAGTCCTGTCGGATTCACACCGGTTCTTGTTCTCCTGACAGGAAGTTTTCACCGTCTCGATACAGTGACTGTGAATGGAGAACACGCAGAAATATCTGACTGGGAGATGTATCATAACAATACTACAGTATTAATATCAGGTGAACAAAACACAACTGGTCACAGCAGGACTGTCAACATTATACGGACTATATGTACAGACGACAGAGAGAGGAAGAGAGGAAGAGAGACAGAGACTCAAACACTCTCTCACTGGAGGTTCAGATTGTGTCTCGTGAGCTGCCCCTCACTCAGAGAGACCCCAGTGTTCCGTTCTGATTTCATCAAAGATATAGATTTCTGTATCTGGGATCCAGTATCATTAATATTTTACATACTGGCTGCTATCTGGGTGTTCTCTGTCCAATGTGTATGACAAAACACCAGACTTCATAGTATGATGGTTTCTTGGTCATGAGATGAATTATTGAATAAGGATGATGTAAAAAAAACAAAACAAACAAACAAAAAACCATATTCAGGTTTTGACCTCAGGCGTTTTAGACAAACACACAGACACAATCACCTGCTGGATTTATACCTTTCAGTTTTAAAATTTGAAATGCAAAGGCACACACATTGTACTGTAGTGTGCATGTGTTATGAATTTACAATTTCCTTTTGGTATAATTAATACATGGAAATACATATAAGAAAAATATGTACACCTTTAGAAAAAAAGCAGATCGATAATATTATTATTGTTTTTATTATTAAACTCAATAACAAAAAAATGTAAAATATTTATATATATATATATACATATATATATTATGGTTATTATTATTGTTGTTATTATTGTTACTATTATTATCATTATTATTATTGTTGTTGTTGTTGTTCTTGTGGACTGACAGAAACCAGCTGCTATATACAGTATAAGCAGGAATAAAACCCAGACACCTCTGCCCCAGTGACTTCCTGTCCGTGAGAGAACAACAGTAATGGACAGAGGTATGCGGCCTGTGGTCCTTGATGTGTCTGTGTGAGTCCTTGATCCCCCCACCGTGGTCTGCTCAGTGTCCACCGACTCTTCCTGTCAGACTCGTGAGCCTCCAGACGACCTGGAACACACCGCGCTCTCTGCCAATGGCTGCAGCAGCGTGACACAGTCTGACCTCGCTGCTAATAATAACAGGAAGGTCACCGCCCCTATAAACTTTGCTGTTTATTAGTGGAGTGGAAAAGACGCCGGCTGATCTGAAGGGTCTGAAGGACCGGACGTCTCTTCATATGTGCTGTGTACAGGTGAGTGAAACATCCAGGCTTTGGGGATAATCACACTGAAACATCTGTGAGCAGCAGTGGCTAAAATGACACGGGGTAAAAATAAAACAATTGTGGCTTTTTTCCCAAACTTAATACTATAGAGTTTTCAAAAATAACCAATACAATAAATCATATCTATTAAAGTTAAAATTACTTAAAAATATTGCAGGAGTGGCTTTATTTTAGCTGTTATGATAGCTAAATGCCAGGTAAAATGATCAAACTTGAGTAAAAAAATCTAAACATAAAAAGTAATAAACCTATAATAATTGGATACTGGGCTAAAAATATCAGGTCAATGTAACCAAATTAGATAAATGAAGCCTCCTTCCACCCCTGTAGGGGTCACTGTAAGAGCAGTTTTCCCATGCATGTTTTGTGTTTACAACTGTTGTCTGATCTGGAAAATCCACTCAGATGGTTCGGCTCATCGAGATCTACAAAATGATTATGTTTCATTTTTTAATATGTCAGATATAAAATATAATAATGGAGAAGAACATAAAGGTCTGGTTCATTAAGATGTTTTATATAATAATCCATTTCATAGGAGATAAAGGCAGATTTTCTTTCCTTTGGAAAAGTAATTTAACATTTCACACTTTCTGTTTTGCACACATCGTTGAATCCACATTTTCACCACACATTATTACTGGATGATAGAAAAGAAAAAAAAAAACAATAACCCAGTGTCACAACCACACATTCGGGAGAAATGTGCTCATTATCTTCCTTGCTGAGAGTTAGATGAGAGGATTATGCACCGTCATATTTGAACAGTAAATATGTGGCTGCAGTCGGCAGCCGGGCAAGACGGTTTCCTGCTGTCTGAGGTAATGAAATCTGTGTTGAGAACAGAGAACAGTAGGGGTGCTAACCCCTACTGTTCTCTGTCTCACTGAGGTTTGTACGTCACAGGCCTCCTGAAGTGTGGATTTGACCATCATATATTGTATGAATGGGACTGGTCAAAAGCAAAAGACCAACTTTAAGGTAGATAAATATTCATTAATCCCTCGGAAAACTATGGATCGCACTGTTCCCATACTGGGAATCGAACCCTAGGTGAAACCAGAAATCCTAACCACTAGACCATATGAATATAGACCATAAAACAGAAATTATGTTCCGACCTTGGCAGCGAGACATGCAGCAAAAAAATATTTTCTGAACATGGTGGTTCACAACCAAACTGTCCAAGAGCTACAGTCGGCCCAGGGCTGGTTTTCGAACATGCCCCGGTGTAATTGTACAGTGAGAGAGTCCGTCCACCTGTGACCTCTCTGACAGCCTCTATCTGAGCCTCCTCTGCTTCTGTGAGCATCACACTCCCACAGAGAGATTATCTGTCAGCACTGCTGCCACTGACAGCTCTGTAAATGTGTGAGAGCTCTTAACAGCAGCCCTTCTCTCTGCTGACGCCTCCGAGACCCGACAAACAGCACCAGCGGCGCGAGATAGTTTCTGTCTCTGGAAACCGTGTGCTGACCACAGTCATTCTACGCCTCCTCTGCAGCCAGGACGATAACATCGTTCTTAGAAATCTCACACACGCGGCCTCACAGCTGAAGGAAAGGAATGATGCACTACTTCACTCGTCTTCTCAGTAGTGCTTCGCTTTATAAGTGTGACAGTAAAATTCCACATTTTAGTTCCATTAGGATTCCTGCGGGGTGACTTAAATCTAAATTATTCTTTGCCAGTTTTGTCTGCCTGCAGTTTTACCCGGGACTGACGTGTCTTTTGTTCAATTTTTCACACAAATAACTGGTTTCTCTGGCATTAATGCGTGGTTATGAATTTGGTTTGTTCAGTATGTTAAAAAAGAATAATGACAGCTGGTTCACTACCAAAACTGTTTTTCCATCCGAGTCCAATTATATCATTTTTAACATGGAGACGTGTTTAGAAATAGAATGTTTTTTGACATTTAAATGATGAATATGAATGTGTTTGAAGTTGCCAACAAGCTATTTATGGTTAACTGTAAGCCAGTTAACGATTAAGTTTCACAAACTGGACCTTTAGCCTTCAGTGGTAAACATATTAATCCTTGTAGATTAAGGTTTCTTATATATTCCCTGCATTATTTGATGAACTTTATTTTGGTTTATTGCCCTAAATACATTTATTATAAGAGTGTGGAGGAATAAGTACAGTCTCTGGTTTGACACATTTTTGAAAATAACCAGTTTGGTCCTTTTTTTTTACTATGACACACAAATTGAGTGAAAAATCTGGAAAGGCACTAAATGCAGTTTTTCACTAAACCTGACCATTCACTCAGAAAGAAAACTATTTTGTAGGTGTGAGTGTGAGACTCCGGTGAGAAATGGTCTGTCATTTTAATTCACAGCTCTCAGTGATGTGAGGAAAAATAAATGGAGATAAAAAAAAAAAAAGAAACATCTCTCTGATGACCTGAGAGTGACGGTCTCCTGTATGCCAAATTGTGTTTTGTGTGTTA